TAATAATAATAAAAATACAATCATTTGCACATAAAAATCACCAGCTTGCATCGTCACCTCAGAGAGTCATTTAACTTGCCAAATTCCATCATTGAATCAATTACTCCTTGGCGGCAAGCTATTGTAGAAATGCACAGGTGCTACAACCATAATAAGCTATATAATACAGTCCTTGATGGTTTATCACTAGCCGAAATGTTAAGTCTGCCTGGTAGCAATACCTTCTTTCATTTTATAAATTATTAAAGACTTTTGAGAAACAACAGGAGAGATGCTCAAGAAAGAAAACAAATAAGAAGGATGACCATGGCCTCTGCTTATTTGACCTTACACCTATCACCCAGTTTCAAAAGCAGATATAATATTTCAATTCAAAAAAATGCTATTTTTGATTTGTTTCGTTCAATTGATTTTGCTGGCTTGGGAAGGCATGGAGTGACGATGACAGAATTTGGAAATGATGCCTTAAACTGGTGAAGACTAGCATTTAATATTGATAAAATGAATATTTATTTTAATCTACAATATTTTCTTCACTTATAAAACCTAAGATAAACCCTTTCTTTTTTTTTCAAAGGTAATTACATGGATAAGTGGAGAATATTGGTCAGGTTTGACAACTTAAGATGTTATGAATAAATGCACAACTTTGTGGAATCAGTACATTAATGCTTTACGTAACATCCGTCGTGGATTACCATCATTTACAAGAGGAAACAATAACAATGATAGATATGACCCCATTACCTCGGTTGTAGAAGTCGGCTCATTCATTATGTTAGCAGGGGCTAAGAACCCCTGTTTGCAGTTCTCACAATGTTGCTGCCGTCATAAATCCGAGTTAGCTGTAAAATTAATATATTGCATTATGTAATAGGTAAATTATTTAACTAGTATTAATATTGAAAAATTTAAAAATAAAACACAATGCTAATATAGTACCCCGGATTATTATAATTGAGGTAATATCCGATTTTTTTAAAGTGGCATGATTATATTGGGGTATAGCAGAAAAATTTTACAAGTCGTATCCAAATCAGGTAAACAATTTTTATGTCATATGAAATTTGTGAGTGCTAAGTTGTAATTGATATAGAAAGTTTTGTCCTTTTTCATTTTAAGTACTAAACTATTATTATTGTTGTTTTTCAAATGTTTTTTTGAGTTTATTAAGAATTAGTGTGAAGAACATCAAACAACTAAATTAACATGATTTCTTAGTTCTTTAGATAAAAATATATTGGATAATTTTTTAATGGTTTACATATAAAGTTACATGTCTTATACAGGTAAAACTTTTAATTTTTTGTTACTAAAATGGTAAAGTTTCTAAATTTTACTAATAGCCTCAATTATAATAATCCAACACTAATTAATATTTATACTAGGGTATGGACAATAGAAAAGGTGGAATCTGCCAAAATCATGATTTTGAGCTAATAACACTTTTACATGTAATTTACCACAAAGATTAATTTTAACTTAAAAACCATATCCACTTGATAAAATTTTGAGATATTTTCTGTTAAATTTCTTTAAAAAATAGTAAATCGGCAGAGACGATAGAAACAAGGATAACTATAAACATTCCGGATTTGAATTAATAGCACTTCTATATTAAATATGCAATTCACCATGCGAAATAATTTTAGATTAGAAGCTATGTCCACTTAATAATATCTTGAGATATTTCCTGTTGGTTTAATTTTCTCAAAATCACGATTTTGCAGATTCCCCTTTTTTATTGTCCATGCCCCCCATTTATTTCTTTCGAGTGTAGGGTTTGTAGATCCTAAATTTATAATAAACTTAATTGCCAGTTTAATAAATTTTGTAAATATATCGACTCAGTCTGTATCAATAATACTTGATCAGAGTTAATCATAATGTTAGATAAAACATTACATTAATCTCTGCTTTGAAAATGAAAAAGAATTTAAAACAGAAACTCCTATCAATTGAAAACAAAACACTCATTATAATCATGAACACGTTATTAGGGTTACTATAAAATGAGACCCTTTGTTGCAGTATGCTCCCATATTTGTCACTATTTATAATCAAAAAAATCTTTTTGTATTACGTTTTTTTGCGTTGCAAACAAAATCCTTGTTGATTTTACGACTATATTTTCTTTTTTTTTTTTGATATTAAAAAATAATGATTAACTCGCCAACTTTTAGTTCTGAACAAACCACTGCCGCAATTACTACCACCGTTAACGCCAACGCCAACGCTGACACCGACGCCGCCACTACCATCAATAAAAGATATTCAGCGGTTCACAAACGTGAGCCTTCTGTTCCTCATGAGATTAAGGAAACATTAGATGCTACTGTGACAGAAACCCAAGATGGTGAACGTTGTCTAAATAACTATATTTTGAGAGAGGTTATTGGCCGAGGGGCTTATGGTACTGTAATTCAGGCTATAGAAAAAGACACTAATGCGCATTATGTATGTAAAAAAAACAAATTCACTCACTGAACCGAAAAAGGAATTCTTTCTAAATGGAACAGGATTATTTTTTTTTGAATTATTTGAATTAATAATAAATAGATCGAGATAGTTGAAATTTAATTATTATTTTATTATTATTATTTTTAACAAATATTAATTCATTATATTGTAATAGGCTATAAAAGAATTCAGTAAGGCCAGACTTCGAAAAAGAGATATGGCAAATTATTTTCGTCGTGGCGGCTTTCGAGGTGCTCGTAGGGGTAGGTTTGCCCCTAATCCCAATTTACAAGATAACTCAGATCCATTATACTTAATACGTGGGGAAGTGGCAGTCTTAAAAAAATTAAATCATCCGAATGTTGTAAAGTTGTTTGAGGTTTTAGATGATCCTGAAAATGATTCTCTATACATGGGTATGATAAACTTTAAAATAAAATAAAAAGATTTATCATTTTATCAAAAAAAAACCCCCCTTTATTTAATTTAATATAATTTTGTTTAACAGTATTCGAAATGTGTGATAATGGTAATCTTATGAATATCAGCATTAACAAGCAAGCAAAACCATTTTCCGAAGAAAAAAGTCGACTCTATTTTATAGAAATGATTCTAGGTTTTGAATATTGTAAGCAATTATCGCTTTGAATTAATTATATTATCAATCAAAAAAAAAAAAAAAAAAATCATATATATAGAGATTCTTTGCTGTAATGATTTACCAATGAATTTCGACGGTTACTTGTTGGAATCTTATTTCACTATTTAGTGCACGAAAATGACATCATCCATCGAGGTAATTTTTTGAAATTGGATCATACATATTAACATAATTAAAAATAATTATGCTCCCACACATAATTTGTTTGATTATTGATGATGTATATATAATTTATTTTATTGTTATGTGATTTTGATATTTTCAGATATCAAACCAGATAATCTTCTCTTGTCCAAAGACGATATCCTTAAAATTGTAGATTTTGGTGTATCCGAAATATTTGTTAGGGGAAATGACAAAACGACAAAATCAGCAGGAAGTCCAGCATTCATGGCACCGGTAAATTTTAATAAATATAATTTTATATATATATAATTTTTAATTGTGTTTTTTTTTAATAAAATTATTAATTAATACATCTTTTTTTTTTTTTAATAAAAAAAATCTAGGAATTATGTAAAGGTTGAGATAATTAATTAATAAATCAATTATTATTATTTTTCAATTAAAAGTATTGAAATTTTCTTTTTTCTTTTTTTTTTTTCAGCACATCACGGCGAAATATCAGGAAAGGCGGCTGATATTTGGTCAATGGGAGTAACTTTATATTGTCTAGTGTTTGGCCGTTTACCATTCGAAAAAGACAATATTTTAGAACTTTATGAGTCTATAAAAAATGACGAGTATGTTATTTCATAAGTGTTTAACATTAATATTTTTTTTAATTACCAATAACAATTTTTTTTCATTTGAAAAATTTTGAAGTGTTCAAATCTCTGGAAATATAAATCCTGATCTAGCTGATATTCTTTACAAGTTGCTTGAAAAAGATCCAGACAAAAGAATTACCATGCACGAACTTAGGGTATATTTTTTCTTTAAGTCAAATTTTTTTTATGTATTGTATATATTTTTTTCTTAATAAAATTTTTTTAGGAACATCCTTGGGTTACTCTTCGTGGAGCTGAGCCTCTTATTTCCACTGCAGAAAATTGTACTGAAATGGTTACGGAAATTACTGATGATGAATTAAGTTCTGCTATTAAACCTATTAGTATTAGGAGTTTAGTAACTTTGGTATGAAAATTTTTTTTATATGATTTTTAAATTGCCTCAATTACAAAAGATTCAACACCTTGCGATTCCCTTTTTTAATGATCTTCTTAAACATATCTTTTGTTAGATAACTGCTGTTAAGAAGTTTAAACGCTTGTCGCGGACTCAGAATAATTACCCAGAGGCATTAATACGAATAAATGACGATAAAGAAGCTGTAGCTGCAGAATAAGCCAAATATTTAGTAATCATTTTTTTTTTTCTTAATTGTAATTTTTGGTAGATAATATTATCTTTATTATATAATAATTTTATTTATTAGTTTTTTTTATTTAATAAATTATATTTACTTCCAATAACTTTTTCAGCATCACTAAGATTAATTCAATAATAAAATACTATCAGGGCTTTTTTAATTTTGGTTTGGCTTTTTTTTAAACCCCCTCCCCCAACATTTAAAATCTTCATACATACATATATATGTATTCGTTGCAATAAGCTATCATTTAATTTTTTTTTCTACTAATTGCAATTTTTGTATAAATATTTCGTTTATTAAAAAAAAAATAATTACTATAAATTATTAATATTTTTATAAAAATATTGTCGAAAGAAATATTATGTATGATATTAAAAAAGCAAACCTTAATAATTTATGATAATTCCAGGTAACATTAACCATATGAATAATAATTAATTTAGTTAATTAAATAGATAATTATTATCTTGAGACTGTAGTCATCGTTGTCATAATTATCAACTCTTACGAAGTTCCACCAGAAGCAATAAATTTTTTCAATTCTTCAATATTTTTTTCATAATCAACAGTACGAACATGACTTTTTTGTACCAATTCCAATAGAAATTTAACTCGTTGATCAACAATAGCAGGAACGCGACCACTACCAAACAACCATTTTCCTTCTTGTTTAACAAATAATTGTCCCAAACTTTCAAGCTCTTGTTCATATTTTTTAATTTTATCTGTTTCAAATTCAAAAAGATATTTATATGTTTGAAGTTCCATTGTTGCTGCAAATAATTTGTCGGATATGATTTGTTGAAAAGCTACTTGATAAAGTGGCTTTCCTAATCTTATAAAATCAGGTCGTCCTATATATATCAACATTATCATTATTAAAAGTGTGGAGGTGACATCGTCAATGTTATTAATTATGGAAGAAATCATTATTAATATTGTTATTATGTGGAATATAAATATTTCACAATTTAAAAAAATAAATGTCACCATCTAATTGTGAAACTGAAATCAATTCGGCTTGTTCCATAGCCCTTATTGAGGTATCATCACCTTTAAATATTGATGAATATTTAATTTTATCATATGGTACCTAAAAAAAATATTTAAAAATTAAAAATCGATGATGCACAATTATTGATTATTAAAAAAAAATTTATTAAAAAAAAGTACAGGTTCTCCTTTAGCCAAATCTTTCACTATTTTCCAAAATTGTATACCACTCCAAGGAATAGTTTTGGCATCTTCAACATCATCACCAAAGCCAAGTTTACGAATTTCAATAACAGATTTGAATATAAGTTCATTCAATGCCTCTATATTATATATATGTGTGTGTGTATGGTATTGTTTAGGTAAATAAAAAACAACATTCGATAAAAATAACATTATTATCGCTTATTTAAAATATATATCATTTACCTTGAGAACTTTGACCACTACTTATTTTATTAATAAATAATTTCAAATCAGTTAAACGGCCACCAAGTGCATTTACAGCCCCATCAAGTCCTTTATCTTCTTTATCAGGTACGTGACTCTTTACCAAACTAATGGCTCGTTCATATGGCGCATCAGAAAGATTAACAAAATTAAATGTTTTGTTTGGAAGTGCTTATTGAATATATATATAGTGATTATTTTAACTCAAATGCATGAAAATATAATGATGATGACAACAACTACAACAATGATGATGCAATAAATACCTTTATTTAAATGCTTTACAATACCAACGTTTGAACCAACGAAAACCACATGAGCAACTCTATTTTCTACAAGGATTGCAGCTAATTTAGCCAAATGATCCCAAAGTTCATGATTTTCCTTATCTTTAATCATATAATCATCAATCACAACAATTGGAATATCGGCTGGATCATAAGATTCAACAATTGATGTCGTGATAAAATCATGCTTCTTTTTTTGATTATAACGAGTACTTTTCCTTAACTTTTCAGGTGCTACATCATGTAAAGCAATTGCCAATGCATCGAGAATCTTTTTGATTTCAGAATCAGTCGTTGAAGAAAATCCTGAAATATTGAATTAATAATTATGATGATAATAAGAAATGTATACAATCATATAATATATTTAAATATAGTTATATAAATTACCGGTCTTTTGACCAATCGTTGCACTTGCCAATCCATCAATTAAATTTGACATGGATACCAATGTACTAAATACAGGGAAATAACCAACTTGTTTTGCCAATTTTAATACAAGTTCACGAACCATTCTCGCACCTTCTCCAACATATCTATTTGAAAAAAATATTAGTTTATTAATATTTGTGAAAATAAAATACAAATTAAAGACTAAAGATGACAATTACTTTTGTACAAGTTCAGAACCAATAACTCTGATAAATGTTGCATCAGTTCTATTTGCCACAGCGCGTGCACATAAAGTTTTACCAGTACCAGGAGGACCATATAACAAAACACCTTTAGGAGGATCAATACCTAAATTTACAAATCGCTCTGGCTAAAAAATTTTATAGAAATCAAATATACAAGTATATTTAAAATTAAGTAAATAAAATTTTTCATATGTATAATTATTATATATATGTTGTTAAAGTGACATTTTTTACCTGTAGCAATGGTAATTCTACTACTTCTCTAAGCTTTTCAATCTGTTCTTTACAGCCACCAACATCACTATATGTAACATCGGGCTTTTCTTCGACTTGCATCATTGTTACTGAAGGATCAATTTTTGGTGGTAATGGTATTTGTATCTGATACTTATTACGATCAACACTATATATATATATATACACACGCATACATGTATTTTAAAAAAAACGTTATATAATTTAAGCCATAAATTTCCTATTTTTTTTTTTTTAGAAAAAAGAATATAAGTTTTACCCAACACGCATTCCTTCTTCAATATCAGTTGGAGAAACGCGCTCACCTAATGCCACAACAAATTTTGCAATTTGTTTTACATTTATAATATATTTTGCTTCTTCACCTTCACCAGCTTCAATTATTTTTGTGCATCTTGCAACCTATAAAATTAATAGTTAACTAATTAAATTTCTAGCACTAATCATAATCAATAATGAATGATGATTATAAAATAAAATAATACTTGTAATGGTTGCTCTTCTTGCATTCTTTGTTTATCAGCAGGAATATCCCAAAGATTTGGTGGTGCCAAACCAGTATCAGATTCCTTAACGCCTAAAAAATTCCAATCAACAATATCATTAATATTATCACCATAATGGTCATCAATTCAATGATTGGTTTATCATTTTATTGGTAACTTCCAATTTAAAATTTACCAATTTTTTCATTTATTCGTTTTTGTACATCTTTTATATCAGAATCTATCTTTTTCAACTCTTTTGCATATGGTCCTTGCCCCTTATAAAATAAATTGATAATGTGCATAAGAATTCTAGATTTTAGGAAAAAATTGACAAATTATGGTAAAATAATAATAACTTACATAGGTCTTTAGAAGTGCGATATCACCTTCATCAAGTGCTTCAATAATAATAAAAAAATGATGAAAATCATGATGGAATAAAATAAATCAATTTCATTTTAATTGAAAAAATCATTACCAACAATTTTTTCCTCTTCTTTATCTTCAGCTTGTTTATCATCTAATAAAATTTTCACATTAATATAATAACATAGATTAATTTATTATTATAGAATTACTTACACTTTTCCCAATTTTCTTTTGGAGACATGTTTGAAATTATAATGACGTATGATTTTCTTTGATTATGTATTTATTTATATGAATACTCCATACTTCCAAAATTAAACAACAATCATGTGACTTGAAACGAGTTCGTCTATCATAACATTACACAAGCGTCAGCGTGGAATTTTTTTCAGAAAATTCAATTTACACAACGTTGTTAGTTCTTGCAATCCATCAATGCAAGCTTTTATATTCTTCTAAACCACCCATAATTGGCAGAATTGTTGTTATTGTTGACATTACCAACATCATGACTTGGAGCATTTAAAAGGTTTTGATTGATTTCATTACGATGGATGTATGGATTCGAAAAAGAATGGTTGTTTAAATTTTAAGGATTCCATTTTTTCTTAAATAGCTTTTTTCACATTATTCAGCATTGTACAAACAATTGATGGTTGCTTATGTTATTCTTAGGACAACCATTAATAATATCAAGTGCGGAATGAATTTAGTCTCATTTATACTAATATGACGTTTTCAATTTTTTTCAAAAAAAGGGTTTAATTGACAGGTAGTAGTAAGCAGTTTTTACGTTTATCTTTATTTTTCAAGATAGTGTCCATTATCATTATACGATTCAAAAAACACATATATAACATAAAATACAATGATAAGTATAAATATATTTTGATTCATCTTAAATTTTTGAACATCTTTGCTCGTGTCATCATAAGCTCGTTCTTTACCCTTGACATCAGGAGTGAGTATCCGTGGAAGTCGAACCGACAGCAAAAGAGCTTGTGGGAACGGAAATGGTCATCAAGCAAGTCGAAGGGGAGGTTTAGCAAATGACATGCTTCCTTTTTTCTCTTCATAATCATAATTTTTATTGTTGCCCTTGTTTGACTTGGTTTGCATGGAATCAAGTCCCATTCTATTTCCTTCGCTACCAAGTGCTGTTTGTTTGTCTCGCTGGTTCTCAACTTTCCAAAAACCGAAATTATCGACCTGTCTAGATTGTTTTTAATCGACCTACATCTCCTGTTCTCGTCCACATATATCACATGAACTTCAAAGTTGATGATGTCGTTCTTTGACATCGGGTTGTATAGCTTTCTGTTTAGAACAAAGTTCTCACCTCAACAAAAAAGTCATTGTTTGCAACCCCTGTGAAAATCATCAACAGATCTTGGTAGGGAAGGTCTTCCTTGCCTTCACTATTTTTATCAACCATGATCGTTTGGTTAGAGTCACCTACACATATATATGATTAAGAAAAGTCAACCAAATTTCAAAAAAAACTTCAATTCAAGAAGATATAGTAATAGGGAAAATTATACATACACATTCGACTTCCTCTTCCATGACGTATCTCCGATCAGGACAACCATCGAATGCTTGAAAAAAACCAACATGTTGTCCGCCTTGTCATAATATCCTTTGAAGTTAACCCTCCCCTATAAAACTGGTCTGATTCATTTCGTCGAAAGTTTGTTTCATCGAATGTTCATTTCGTCGAGTGTTCATTTTGTCGAAAATTATTTCGTCACAAAAAAAAAAAAACTTCATTAACAAATTTCTCCTCACACTTCCCACACACTGCGCTTTCCTCACCTCATTTCTTAACTAACTTTCCACACTCCTCACATCTAACTCTTTCGATCTCTGGCTCGAGGATAAAATAATTTTCGACGAAATGAACATTCGATGAAACAAACTTTCGACGAAATGGGTGTCAACGAATGATTGTCAACGAAGTAAACGCGACCGAAAAACTTCTCTATCAATATTAATAACATTAAATAATAATAAAATAATCTCCCTCGTGGTCCTTTTATATAGTAATGATAGTAATAAATAGTAATAAATTTTGACATTTTCTTAAGTTATAGTACTATTAACTATATTATTAGCAGTAATATTATAAATATAAATTATTATTATCTTGTTAAAGCAAAATAATTTTACAAATAGTTAAAATCCCTTTACAATAATATTAATATTAATATAAAATTTATTGCATCAAGATGTGATTTAATATTTAATAAAACGAATAAACAAATAATTAGAATAATTAGAATAAACGAATAAAACAAATAAAACAAATAATTCGAGTAAACGAATAAAACAAATAAATGAATAAAACCGAACAAAACAAATAAAACCGAATAAAATGAATAAAACTAAAACGAATAAAATGATAAAACAAACGAATAAAACGAATAATTCGGGTAATTCGAATAAATGAATAAAATGATAAAACAAACGAATAAACGAATAAACGAATAAATCTAATAAAATGCATAATCCGAATAAACGAATAAAATGAATAATTCGAATAAACGAATAAAACGAATAAAACAAAAATTTGAATAAAACGAATAATTCCTTTGAAATAAAATGAATAATTCAAATAATTCGAATAAAACAACCTCAACGTAAGTATTATTTATTGTTTTGAGAGCTATTCTAGTTTAGAGATTGGGATCAGTCAAAATTTGTTCATTTTATTCATTTTAACATTATTTATTTATTTACTTGTAGCGTACCAGGATTAGTTGCTGAATCAACACTAATCCTGATGGAAGGAGAATCAGCTAAGGCATTTGCCTTAGATGTTTTGGAGGTTGCCAATAACAAGAAGTGGGGAGTATACATGGGATGGTAATTACTTTGCCAAAAACGTAATACGTAATACGTAATTACGAAATCAATTACGGGTGACGAAATCAATTACGCGTGACGAAATTAAATGACACCTATTATTTATCTCGTTATATTAATATAATGACATAATTTGTCAACTTTTTTTAGAATTATAGAATTTATTCTGTTATAACGACATGTCAGTATAATGGGAGAACCAATCAAAATCATTCTCATTTCTGAAAAAACATAAGGAAATAAAACTTACGCCGGGATCAAGATTGACCGGCATCATGGAAAATTCTGATAACAATTCTGTATAAGGCTGGTCAATTTTGACCCGGCGTAGGCTTTAAATTTCCTGATAAAACATGAATGAAATAAAAAAAAAATATATAATAAAAATAAAATCACAAAATCACATGATAATGATTCTCATATGACTTTTATATGAACTCCCGTTATAATGACATTCTCGTCATACTGACATTTTTTGCTTGTACGGAGAGTGTTGTTATAACGGGAGTGACTTGTATTATGATATTTCCAATAATTAATTTGTTGTTATTCATAATTAATTTCGTCACCCGTAATTAGTTTCGTCACCGTAATTAGTTTCGCCACCCGTAATTAGTTTCGTCACCCACAATACGGTAATTAATTTCTTAATTATGTTTTTAAAGAGAAAAATGGCAATTAATTACGATAATTACGTATTATGTACTTACGGTAATTAGGCAATTACCATCCCATGTATAGTGTTAACAACGGTTTGCATAGAAAATTTTCACAATAGTAATTAATTTGTCGCCCGTAATTAGTTTCGTCACCCGTAATTAATTACGTAATTAAGTTTTTAAAGAGTGAAAGTGGTAATTAATTACGTTAATTACGAATTACGTATTTACGGTAATTAGCTAATTACAATATCATTGTATAGCGGGAGTTCACTCCCTACATGGAAAATTCTTAAATGTGAGGGACGCAACAGTACAACAAGTTGCTGAGAATGAGACTACATGAAACAGAAACTACCTTGGAAGTTGAAGATGTTAAGTTGGGTCAAATGCTGCAAGCAGCAAAGAAAGAAATGGCGATTATGAAACAGGAACTTCAACTAACAAAATAAAAGGAAATCCACAATAGAAGGTGGAACAGCTGCAAGCAGCAGCAAGAGAAAAGTAATTGAAAAGATTGATGGCAATGATGCTGCTGATCATATTGGATCACATGAAACAGCAACTTCAACCAAAAAAAAAAAATTATGAACTACCATAAAAAAAGTTAATTATTAGTAGATTTAGAATTGATTTGATTTTGATTTGAGGATCACTTTATTAATATTTTTGATGAGTATCATTCGTGCATCAAATCTTTGACAATTCTCTAAAGTTGGTTTAAAATTTTATTTGTTCTCTCTGTTATCATTATTAATAATGTAATGTTATCCCCTAAATAGTTAATTGGCTATTGATAGCTGATAAAATTTTTTCTGAGGGCATCACTTTCTAATACGAAAATTATCTTTGAGATCCAGCCGATTAATCTATAAATAAAAATCCAGTTGTTGTCCTTGTGGTTTTTGTAAAATCTTCTTTAAAAGTTGGTCGATTGACTGTTTTTACTTTGCTGATAGTTAAATTGACCAATAAAAATGATCAAAACTTTAATTTGTGTTACCATTAAAGAATACTCTGACCGTTTAAGAGATAATATAAATTATTATGGTTAATCATATGGTGCGAATCATCTAAAGGCATCACGTGCTGCGCCACTCGCCGAAAATTTTTATGCTGATCTTGCTTTATAAAGAATCCAATATATAAAATAAATCCAAATTTGTAAAAGATCTGT